TACGCACCGTTTCACATTCTGAGTAACTCGATGTCATTGTATATATATATATATATATATATATATATCGTTCAGCTGCAACACCCTTTCGGTGCCTAGCTGTCATACCACCCGAAGGAAGCAAGAGGGCTGATATGCTGCCAGGATGCCCAAACCTAGACACAAACTCTGTTTAAGTCGACGTTGAATAGACTGTTAGCCGGATTATGCTGTGGTTTCGAAGGTATACAGACGCTTTGTATCAAGCAGCGACAGTGAACGTTCTGAGCTCCAGTGTCGCTTATGGTGCTTGTTACCTCTTCCCAGTGAAAATCAATCTCTTCTCTCAAGACATCAGAAGGCTGGCTTTGGTACGTTTGCTTTATATGTGACTCGGAAAGCTTCTCGACTAGTAAACGGCGGATGGTTGTTAAATGTGTCCGGGAAATTCAGTGAAAATCTACATCGGATGACAGCATGTTCCGGATCATCGTATGTTCTATAATGAGCAGTAGTCGAGTATAGAACGCCGAATACCCATCGAAGAAACCTAATTTTCTGTCCTGAGAGGCTTTCAATTGCCGATTTTCTCCCCATCATATCCAAATGTGCCAGATCGGACTCTCAAACGAAAAAGCCCCTCAAACCCAGCGAAGCAAATGCCCTTTCTATCCCATCCCGCCGTTCTGTGGCAGTAATCTGAAGTCGCGGTTCCGCCAGTTAGAAGCGGCATCTGCATTATGTACTACTCAATTGCTCTAAAACACTACTTCGTATTCGTAATACCACTGAAGACGTGGAAAACGTCTTGTTTCCTTTTGAAACGCTTATCAGCTCTTTTGGCGCCCACATACACCGGCAAGTCGTGTCACGTACTGAGACCAAGTGTAGTATGAGTTTCCGCGATAACCATACCCTAGTAAGGCCGGAAACTCTTAAACGACGCGACCAACAGTTCATTTCGGCCGCAAAAGATACCACCAATAATCCAGGCAGTTTCGCGCTGGTACAATGAACCAGGATGCTAGTAGGTACGCTTCCGAGGCACATCCTATGGCGTCCGTTCGAGATCCCTAAATGTCCGCAGCTGGTCATGCTCAACCAAAATCTGGAGGTTTTTACGCCCGACAACGACCTGCTACCCGTTAGCCTTATAACGTACCATCATAGGACTCTCGAACTACTCAATGGTATTGGCGGCCCTCATAAATATAACCATCACTGCTAATTCAAAAACGAAGGAAACGTGTGAGCCTATTGGCAACTAATGTAAGTGGCCAATCAAACCACCTATTTTGTGGCATCGGCCATAGAACCCGATTCGGAATCTCTTTCATATCCCTGTCAGGTCAAGGATTGGCTACCTCTCTGATTCCGCCTCTGGGTTGGGCATGGAAAACGGCACTCTTTTCGGAAAACGATGGTTAGGCACTCGCAACACGTCCCTACCAACGCAGCTTCTGGTGCTGGACACATTCTTCAATGGAAGTTACCACTGCACAACCGAAAACTCGCTAACTGCCTCGTTATGGATACGCCGACACCAACCACACGAACTATGGCTCTGAGGCGATTGTCGACCGCCTGAAGACATCGTAGTTCCACTGCTATAACAGGCCACGTCTCAGCCGTACAACAGAATAGCCCCCACTGTAGCTTGATACACAAAGCAGTCGTGACAGACCCTGATAGAACCCGTCCTTCTGTCTCAGAACTGCAGCCTGTTGGGGCGTATGCTGATACGAAAAACAAACACAGCCTGCTGCATCCATTACACGGCGCGAAGGCGACTGTTTACTGAGATCCAGTCCAGTTAGGCGCGTTCAGCCTGCGGGCTGAGTGCACCTCCCATACCGCACATATCACGAGCTATTGCGTCAGGACGACCAGATACGCACTGTAAGATTTTGAGACCGATGCAACCGGCCAGCAATTGTTCAGCCGGATTTCCAACCAGCACCACAATCCTCGACAGTGAACTTGGAATCTCCGATGGCTGCAGAAATAGGCGAATGTTTCTGGTCCTTCGAGCGTCATCGAGTTGCTGGTCCCGACGAAATCCCACCAGCTCTGTTCAAAGATGGAGATGCCTAACCTATTTGCCTCTATCTGGGCGAAACACGTATCAACCAAGTGAAGCAAGTCGATAGTGCTGCCTTTATTAACTTGACCCCGTTGTAATCAAACTCGACGGGGCTCATCTTACATCGTCGTACGAAGCCATGCGGAAAAAAATCAAAGAGCAGCAAACATGATTCTGATCGAAGAGGAGCTGTGTGTACCACATTTTTACACTCCCTCAAGTACTAGAGCAATGACGTACCTATAAGTGTCTTAGTGTCCCTTGTTTTCAAGAGTGCGTCCAATTCTGTCGGCCGGTTAGTTCTTTTCCAACACGCTTACTCAATGGGGTGTGCCCCGGAAGTTCGTAAATATTATGCACTGTTTGTATTGACATACATGCTGGCGTGTGTGCGTATGAGGAAATCTCCAAAAGCCTTCCCACAAAGAGCGGTCTTAATGAGGTAATAAAGTGAACCCTGGAAGGTTTTCAAAACCCCGGTGTTCAGATCTCTCCGAGTGAAAACCTTTTTTATCTAGATTATGCAGACAACATTGTTTTCTTTTTTGAAAAGGAGCAGGAAGCGCAAGCATCGGTGAAAAAAACCTGACCGAGGTCATCCAGTCCTTCGGTATGTGCTTGGCGCCCACAAAGTGCAAATTCGTGCTGCAGAAAGTCGAATCTTTGAACATGCCTCTGAAAATTCAAGTGATACTATAGGTATATTGGACGTTGCATTAGCCCTGACGGTAGTGTGACAGACGAAGTCAACACACGGATCTCGAAGGGCAGGATTGCGTTTGTCAATTTGCTCCGCTTGTGGAGGCAAAAAGGCATTTCACTGAGTCTCACAGAACGCGTATTTGTTGCACGGTTGCGAGACTTGACCACTTCGTGTGGAGGACCTGGGACATCTTCAGGTCTTTGACCTCCAAGTCTCAGAAGTATATTTGGAATCGGCTAGTTCGCAATGCAATCAAGAAACGGGTTTTTGGTAAATCAGATGTTAGTCCCCTAAAAGAATATATCCAGGTGTGTAAGCTAAGGTGGTTGAGCTATGTGGTATACATACCAGGTAACCACCTGCCAAGAAGAGCTCCATTTTGTGCGCCTATTTTGAGTAAAGGACGCCTAAACGTTGTAGAGTTTAGCATGGGAGAAGAGAATGATGTTAAGAAAGTTTAAGTTCTGTTAGTACTGCTCGCTCTCTAGGATGAAGTTCATGTGACTCATCTGTTGTTGTTGTCGGTAATGAGCACTGCCACTGAGTGGCATCAAAAAAGCAGCCAGATACTAGGAATTGGTTGTGGTAAACTCGTCACACTTTCGCCGTCGCTTAGAGATGCTCATGTCACCAAACACAGCAGCGATAATTCGGTAACCCAGCACTGAATGAACAAAGCTGTCAGCTTAGCTTGCAATGTTGAACGAACTGCTCAAGCGGAGTACCTGGTGTTTCACCGGACACCCACTACCCGATCAATTCATTACGAAATCCCTGATACCAACAGCCTCTGGATACAGTTGAGACATCCGTGTTCAAAGACCTGAATAAATCCAAGATCCTCCGCTGGAAGCAGTCGTGTTCCGGAGTCGTGAAGCAATACAGAGCGCACTGTCCTTCTGTACACAGGCCCTTTGAAACTCGGTAACACGTTTCTGTTGCCTCAAGTGATTTTCGTCCACTGACTTCGCCTATTAAACTACCGCCAAAGGTAACGCAAATTTTTAGGTAAGTTCAGTGTTTCACAACCTGTCTCTCTCTAAATCCTCAAAAGCATGTGCAAAGACTGTACGCCTTCAGCATTACTCCGTGGTTTGTGAATGCAAAGGATGCACCAAAGGTTTGGGAAACCCTGATCAGATTTCTAGTAAAGCTCGCACTTCCTCCATTTTAAGGATGTACATTCCAATTCAACGAGGTTCTGTTTAAAAGAGATCTGAACACCGAGGTTCGGATATGCTCTAGAATCCGCCTCATTAGCTCAACCACGACGAAATTAAAGAAAAATTAACTTATGTACCTTTAGTAATGGTTGCTTGTTGTTATCGAATGTTGTGGTTCACACCTACAATACTGGT